CGGACATTTTTTTTTCTTCAGCGGATGACCTATTTAATTTTTATCTCTTTAGAAGATTGTGGAAGTTCCCAAATGGCATTCTTTTGACACAGTTAAATGTTTATCTATTTAGAATTCTGTCTCTGAGGTTATTTGGACAACCTGGAATTTCCATTTTTTGTAACCTAAATCAGATTAATTCCAGTATCTTTTTTTTTTTTCCTTTCTCGACAATAGGTCAAATAAAAATTTTACCACTTTTCCTTGTCAGAAAAATAACACCATTTTTAGTGTTTTTTTTCGTGATGGCTTTTTATCATCTAAATTTAATTCTCGCCTTTCTTTTTTTTTTTTCTTTTTCTTTTTTCCTTCTAGCAAATCTAAAATGGTGTCACGGTTTAAAATAAATAGTTTTAAATAAAAATTATTATTCATTCAATTATTTTTTTAATTTAAATATGGACAAAAATCCACAATTTTTACATTTATAGGTCTATAAACAGACAAAAATCTAAGTTTCTTATTTTGGAATCAGATTTTAATCAAAAATTATATAAAACGAAAATGGTTTTTGGTTTGAAACATTTTTATAAATTTGAAAATTTTTTTTTAAAATTTTTATTATAAATTAGATCAATTTATTTTTATAGGACTTAATCCTTTTTTTTTTAAGTAATAATATATAAAAAATATGATTCCTTCAAAATTTAGGTCTATTTCATCAATAAACATTTTTTAAAAGTTAAAACAAATTCAAATATTGTCAAATTCATCGAACATTCATTTTTTATTTTAAAAACGAAACCTTTTCAATATCATAGGGAACATATTTTTAAAAATCATATTTCGAAACCCTTTTCAAATATAAGACCTTCTATAATTTTACCATCATGAAATCAATTGGAAATGTTTAACTATGAAATTAAATTTTTAAAAGTATAATTTAAACATTCGAACACATTTTTAAAAAAATATTATAAAAAAACCTTTCAAATATAGATTCATAAAAAATATAAACATCTATAAAACAAAACCTTTTCAAGTATAGGTCTATAACATCGAACACATCTTTAAGTAAATGTTTATTAAAAAAAAATTATTCCAAATTGTTAATCATAATAATGAAATACATCTCTTTAAGTAAATTATCTAATGTTGAAATTTTTTTTCAAAAAATAGGTCTATGACTTTTAAAAAGATCGTTAATTAAATTTCTAAAAAAATTTGATTTTTTTTTTTTTTTTAAAATTTGGAATTTTTTGCCCTATTAAAACAATATAAAATTTTTTAAATATATTAATAATGAAATTTGTTGAGGACCAAAAAAAGATTTTTCTCTAAAATATAAGTTTAGCTGATCAATAATTTTTTTGTTCTGAATTTTGTTGTTATTTGAAATATTTATTAAAAATATATTTTTTGAGAAATAATCTTATTATATGAAGTTTTAACTATTATGCATTTTATAACAAAAATAGATACACTCAATCATTTTTAATTCAAACCACTTTGATTAATAACGAAAAAAAAAAAAAAAAAAATTGAGTCTTGTTTTCAAAGTATTTTAATGATCACTTCGACCAATGATCATTTTTTAAAGAAACGATTTGAATACTGAAAAAATAGAAAGATATTAAAAATAAAATAAAATAAATACAAAAAAAAATATATAAAAAAAAATAAATACAATTAATACAGGAATTATTTATTCAAATTTCTTCTTTTTTTTTAATTTTTTGTTGAAAAGGCTTTCAATACAAGATATAAATAATCAACAAATTCAACTTTGAAATTTTTAAAAGAAATTAGACACGTTTGCCAAATTTATCATTTGATTTGTGAATACATGACCATTTTAATTAAAAGTTTCTTTTTATTATTTTTCCGTATACCAATCAAATTTTTTGATATTTTAAAATAACCCGAGTTTTGTTATAATAATAACACTTTTTGCTGAATTCAATGTTAATTGGATTTTTGAAATTGATAAATATAAAATTAAAGACTATTTTATCTTAATATATATTTTCTTTTCTTTCAAAAATAAAAATTCATTATCTTTTTTTTTTCTTAAATTAATAACAAAATTGAAACCTAATTTTTTGTTTTCTTTTGTCTAATAATCAGAAATTTTAGTTTGTTCATTGATCATTTTCGTTTGTCTTTCACATTAATCCTTTTGAAAATTAAATTTTGTATTTTTTCTTTTTTTCTTTTTTTTATTTTTTTTCTTTCTTTTTTATTTTATATAAAAAAATTTTATGTTATAGATATTTTTTTTCTTTATTCCTCAAATTTTTCATTTTCTTTTAAAATGTAAATATAGTTTATTCATCAATTTTACATATATTTCTTTTGAATATTTTATAAAATATTTTCAGACGAATTTCATTTTGATTTCTGTTTCTTTCATTTTTTTTAACTTTTCTTTCTTTTTTTTTTCCTTTTGTATTTCTTTCTTAATAGATAAATTTCTATAATGTTTTTTTTTAAAATTTTCTTTGGAATTTCTTTCTAAAAATTGGGTAATATTCTTTAAGAAAAACTTTTTGACATTTATCAGAAATTTACTAGTTTTCTTTCTTCAGGGAAATATTTTTAACGAAATTTTGGATTATTTCTTTCTTTTTGTGTAAAAAGAATTTATTTATTTTCTTTCATTTGATTTAAAAGAAATTTCTGTGTAATAAATAGTTTTCATTTAAAAATTTGAAAAAGAAAACCTTTTTTGAATTTTTCTTTTTAGGATTTCTTTCTTTCAAAAATTTTCTTTCTTTTATTTTATGATCGGAAGTAAAAAAATCTTTTCTTTATCTTTTAAAGAATTTAACTGAGGAAATTTAAAAATTTCTTTCTTATTTTTTTTTTTTTTTTTTTTCTTTTTTTTTTACAGATTTTTTTAGATTCTTTTTTTTCATCTTTTTTTTTTTATTTCTTTTATTTTTCTTAATTTTTCTTTGTTTTTTTTCTTTCTTTCTTTCTTAATTTGCATATAATTTGGGTTTTTTTTTCTTCTTTTTGAAAATTTCTTTTTTCTTTAAAAAAAAAAAAGTTTGATTTCCATTCATTTTTTTTATTTTTTTTTTATTTTCCGGAAAATTTTTTTCTTTTCTTTATTTCTGTTTTTTTTTTTCGTTTTTTTCTTTCTTTTCTTCTTTTTTTTTTTTTTTTTTTTGAATTTTTTCTCTTTCTTGATATCATTCTTTCTTTTTCTTTTTTTTTTTTCATTTTCTTTTTTTCTTTTTTTTTTCTTTCCTTCCTTTTCTTTCTTTCTTTTTTTTTTATGCTAGTTTGATTCTTCATAAGACATTTTTTTATTCTTTTTTCCTCTTGATTTTTTATTTTTTTATCCATTTATTTATTTTCTTTTTTTTTTCGCGAAATTTATAAAATTATTCTAATTTTTTTTTCTTTCTTTTTTTTTTTTTTCTTTTTTACCCTCATTTTTTTTTTTTTTCTTTCTTTTTTCTTTTTTTTCTTTCTAACTTTTTTTTAAATTTTTTTCTTTCTTTCATTGTTTTTTTGTTTTCTTCCTGTTAAGATTATATTTTTTAATTATTTTTAGTTTGTTTTTAAATTTCTTCCATTTTTTTTTTCTTTCTTTTTTTTTCTTTCTTTCTTTCTTGCTAATTTATTCTCCATCGTACATTTTTAAAACTTTTTAAATTTTTTTTTTATTAATTTTTTTTTTTCATTATTAATTTCTTTTTGTATCTACCGTTCTTTTATTTTCTTTCTTTCTTTTTTTTTTTTTATTTCATTTATTTCTTTCTTTCATAATAAGGTTTATAATTTATTTATATTATTTCTTTTTATTTCTAATAATCGTTCTTTTTTTTTTTTTTTTTGATTTTTTCTAAAATTTTTTTTCTTTTACTTTATTTACATTTTGGATAATTATTTTTTTATATTTGTTTCTTTCATTATTTCTTTCTAAATTTTTGCATTTATTTATTTATTTACTTTCCTTCTTTTAAGACTGATTTTTCTTTCATTCTTTTTGAATTTGTTGTTTTTTCAGCACGAATCTAAAAACTTTCTTTCGTTCTTCCATTTTTATTTTTTTTTTTACTATTTTTTCAGAATTTTTCTTTCCTTTCCTTTTCATTTGAAAAAAGACGATATTTCTTTATTTCCCCTGATATTTGTTTTAACATTTCTTTTATTTAATTCGATTTATATTATTTTTTTATCAATCTGACATTTTTTTTTTTTTAAATAGATAAATCAGAGAGCACTTTGATTTGGAAAATAAAAGAATATGTCAGATTGATAGATATATATTTATATTTTTTTGTAATCATGATGTCATATTCTATGTGTGTGCGTGTGTGTCCAATTAAAATTGAAATGATATTCCGTTCTGATAACTTTAAACTACATCCGCGTCCTGGGTAAGATATTTAATTCTGCATCGAAAATCAAGGAAAAAAAAATCTGGCATTTTTTGAATGCGTGAAACCATAAAAAAACTTTCTTTCTTTCAAAAAGTTTCTTTATTTTTTTTTTTTATTTCTATCTGTTAGGGTATAAAATTTTCTTTCTATAAACTTTTTTTTTTAACTAACGCCTTTATCCACTGTGATATTTTGTAATTGAGTGGAATTAATTGTATAGGACCCAAAAAGAGTGAATTTCAAAAATTGGTTGGATCGGTGGAGAACTTGAAAGATAGGAATTAACAGGAGATAAGAGATAAATGACATCCATTAGTTATGGAACATGGAACTAGAACAGAGACCCCAGTGAATTTTTAAAGGGTTTTTTTCGACATTCCAACCACCTGAAAAGGCCGAAGCGTACAACGGCCGAAACGTTGTAATGATTATGGCGACAAAGATGAGGACGATAATCCGAATAATGGAAATAGTGTAAATATTTTTTTTATTTGATTTGCCCGTTCGAAAAATGTATTTGTATTTGATTTTGCCCGTTTAAAAATTTTTCTTATTTAAAAAGAAATGAAATAAAAGAACACCATTTCCATTTTTTTATTTATTTATTTTTCTTTTTTTTCTTTCATGATTTTGATTTCTTTCTTATTCCATGTAAATCTTTTTACATGTTTCATTATGTAATATTTTTTTTTTTTCTTTTATCAGTTTCTTCCTTTTCCATTTTTTTTTATTTATTTCTTTCGGGTGGCAGATTTATATAAAATCGAATTTAAATTTGCAGTTCAAGACTCAGTTGTTCTGGGGACTTAAAATTTTAATTGAATAATTCAATAGATGTTTGTAAATGTGACATATCTTAAACAAAAAATATTTAAAGGAATTTTGATAAAATCTAGAGTTTTAGAGTTATCGAAAACAAATGTTTGGACTAATCCATTTATATTTGAATTTAAATTAATTCTATCCCTTTTATTTTTAGTAGACTTTTTTAATTTTTTTCTAGCAAATTTCTTAAGACTTTTTTTGTTAAGGATTAATTATATTAAGACTTTTTTTCTCTTTTAACCAATTTTATTTTCTTTTTATTTTTTTCTTTTTTTTATTTCTGCCTTTTTACATTTTCTTCTTCTTCCTTTTTCTTTCCTTTATTTTACTGTGTTCATGTCCTTAGAGCCTTTCCTTTAATTCTCAGTCACTATTTCCCTACGCCCAGTAAAATTTAATTTTCTTTATTTTTTTTTTATTCTTTTTCCATTTTTTTTTTTTTCTCTAATGTGTATGATTTTCATCAGTTTTCTATTTTTCTTTTATTTTTTGAACAAATCCCTTCACCCATTCTTAATTTTTTTCTTTTTTTTTTTGAATTTCTTTTTTTTTTTTTTTTTCTTTCTTCCTTCCTTTTTTTTTCCCTATGTGTGTTTTTTTCAAATAAAAACTTTTTTTCTTTTTACATTATATATCTCCCTTCACCCATTCTTCCCTTTCTTAAATTTTTCTTTCTTTCTTTCTTTTTTCTTTTCATTCATTTCATTTTCTTAATTGTTGTTTGTTTTTTTTTACGGTTGTTTTTTTTTTCTTTCTTTTTTTTCTTTCTTTCTTTCTTTCTTTCTTTTTTTCTAATTTCAAAATTTTCCTTTTCCCTACCTGTTTTCTTTTGTCCTTTTCATTTTTTCCTTTATTCTATCACTATATATATATATAGAAGTTATATACGCCCATCTTTCGGGTTTCCATTCCTTTTTTTTGAGGAATATTTCTTTTCTTTGTTTCTTGAATTTCTTTTTTTTCTGAACTTCTTTTTTTCTTTTGTTGTTAATTTTATTTAGATTTTTTTTTTCCTGAATTGTCGTATGTTTTTTTTTTTCGTCCTTAATTTTATTTAGTTTTTTATTTTTCTTCGATGTGTCATTTTTTTCATTATTTTTTTCTTCTTTGGATCTATATCTTTCTTTCTTTCTAATTAAAATTTCTTTTTTCTTATAAGATGTTAAGTTATTTCTTTTTTATTTATATCTATGTTTTTCTTCTAAACAGAAATTCTTAAATTATGTATTATCTTTCTTTTTTTATTTATTCCAAATTAAGAAACTGATTTACTTCACATATTTTTTTTTAAATCTAGTTTATTTTCTTCTCTCTTCTTTTCTCCGTTCATTCAAATTTGTGAACGGGGGAAATTTTTCATTTCCTTTTCCATTTTTTTCTTTTGTCTCTATTTCCGTCTGATATTCATATTTTTTTTAACGTTTTGCTTTTAACGTTCAGTTCTTTGATTTCCATTTATTGTTGGTTTCTTTTTTTTTTTTTTGTCTCCTAACAATGTCTCCTGTTTTATTAACTAAATTAAGAAAGACGCCAAAAATTTTTTTAATAATTTTTATTTATTTTGTTTCGTTTTAATCCAATGACGCCAACACATAAATTAACACACACACAAAGACACATTGTTTTGAAACGCACAATCCAAATTATTGTAATTTTATTTCACATTTTATATAATGGGAAAATTTTTTTAAAAATGTTTACTATCAATCGCTGATTCAATGTTTCAATCTATTGCCATTTGAAGATTCATAAATTAATGAAAATACAGGGGTTTATCATATAAATAATTATGTTATTGGAATTGTAAAGGCAGTTAATCAGATCCACCCAATTTAGGATAAAATACGGGCACTAAGTGATCGAAAGTAGATAACAGATAATAGATTGATAGACGGAGAAATAATGAACAGACTGAGATAGATATAATAGATAGATAAAATAGATAGATAGATAGATCATGATATGAAAATGCTAGAAAACATGGATGGAAAATTTATAGATAAATATAAAAAAAAATAGATAGATAGAAACCTGAAGATATATAGGAAAACGATATGTGATGTTATATATATAGTTAGATAAAATCAGACTATTAGATATGAAAACAGAAAAAAATAAAAAATAGATATATATGTTATATAAAAATCATATATATATATATATATATATATATATATATATATATATATATATATATATATATATTTGGTTGATAGATGTGAGTTTGTGACCCTGGGTTTCACGCTTTAGCGATCGTCAGACAAACTGATTAATTAAAAAAAAATTGGGGTTTATGTAGATTGCGTGCATTTGTGTTATTGTGGAAGTGGTGGGGGAAATTTCGTCGTTTTGTCATTGGATAAAACTAACGTGTAAACATAAAATGTATAAAACATACAAAGTTTGGTATGAAAAAAATTTTATACATATATAATATCAATTATATCCAAATGGATTATTTATATTCAAAAATGATATTGAGCTGCTTTCTAAAAAAAATTTCCAGGGCCATATAGATATATATTAATCTTTATCATATATATATTTATATTTTATTCTTACACTTTTCAAATATATATATATATATATATATATATATATATATATATATATATATATATATATATATATATATAAATAGAAATGAGATTCTAGATAGATAGATGCAATAGATATGAATTTCATAGATTTCCATTATAGATAGAACGTTATATATATAGATAGATAGATAGATAAAAATTTGATTTTCTTTAAAAATAAAAAAATATTTCATAATATAGGTTTTTGATATCTCATTAACGATTTGAAAATTTGACAAAATGGTTTCCGAAATGGATTTTTTTCCTCGATTACAAAAAAACTTTTTATTATTAAGATATCGAAATCTATTCTATTTAAGTCAATAATAGTATTTTGCAGGATCAAATACTGATGAAGAAATTTTAACTACATAACAAAATTTTCCATATTTGTCATACATGATACTTTAATTTAACCACATTTTTTTATTTAAGGAAAATTTTTTTTATTTTGAAATTTTAAAATAGTTTTTCGTTTATTTTTTTGTTTACCATCACTGAACTTTTATCAAAAGGTCGAGCCTGTTCAGTACCTAGATAGTTGAGCCCTTAGGAACAGCAGGTGCTTCAAGCTTGGGAATGCTGATGGAGTAATGGATAACGGCTCAGAATCGGAAATCGAAGAAACGAGTTCCAATTCCATTCGGGGTATTTACATTTCCATTGTAATGGGAGGAAACAACGAAATTAAATTTAAATTTAAAGTTGCAAAAATGAAATATTCTCTCTTATTAAAAGTAAAAAACGCTTTTCAAAAAACGTTTTTTTTCTTTAATATATATATATATATATATATATTTATAAATATAAATATTTGGTTTTAAATCATGTTCATGAAATTAAAAAATTAAAAATTAGGTGTTTGTTTATTTGAATTATATATATATATATATATATATATATATATATATATATATATATATATATATAATGGACTCTCCTGTTGGTTAACTGGCTAATATGGGGATCTGACAGCTTAATTGATTCAATTATGAAATTTTGTGCGATAATCTTAAGTGGCATTTAAGACCCTTTAGTGATTTACAAAGGAGGCCACATATGGAGCAAGTGTGAGGATTGTGAGATGAGATCACTGTTAGATTGTTTTGACCTTTTAGATCTTGCTCTCGCTTCTTGAAGATGATTCAGACAAGCAGATTGAAAATTGCTTGAGTCCACTAAAACACGTTGATCTCCATTCTACCCGCTCCAAGGCTAAGCGCTCAAAGGGTGTTATGTAGGTATATTGACTGCTGACAAGTTTTTTTTTTGGATTTTACAATTTGAAAATGTCAAAATCATATATAATTGCAGTCGTGTTTCGATGCTTGTCAATATCATTTCATTAGGCGATTTAAATTATGTGGCCATTGAATGATTTATTCAGTAATTTACAATTTATGCGCCAGACATTTACAATCGCCTGATAAGATGCATTGATACGAAGTCAATTAAAAATACGACTGCAATTGTGTAGCGATTTTGAAAATCATTTTTTTCGATGTAACATTACATTTCCTAAAGAATATTGCTCTAACTTTGTATTGATTTTTTCTTTTAAATTAAATGTTTAACGAACGTCGGATTTGGATTCTATTCGTTCAATTTTTTACCTGGATATATATATATATATATAAATGATGTGTCTTGTAATTTTGTATGTGTGTGTGTTAAATGTGTGTGTGTGTGGCAAATTGTGTGTGTTTATTTTTGTGTGTGTCTGTCTATACATGAAATCTTGAAATATTTTTTGAAAACACACATTTAATTAACTATATATTTCTCTTTGTTTTTCTTTATAGTCAAAATTACAACATATTTTCTTTTTTTTTTTTTCTATCATGTCTCATAAAAATATTCAAAATTTCCGTTTTCTTCAAAACACGCATAAAATCAGATCATTGACTGGCGGACTCTTTTTAAATATTCACACGGCGTTCAAACGCGTTTTAGGTTTAATTTTTTTAATTAATGTCATTTACAAGAAACAATTGTTTTTTTAGGTGGCCCATGATAAAAAAATCCATATGATTGATACAAAAATTTTTGGAACCGATCCTTATTACCTAACAATATTTCATGGTAGATGTCATATTTAAAATTCAACTTTATGTGACTAAAATGTACTGGAGCTATATCATGCATGATCCACATACATTTTTTATATTAGCAAATACATCCTCAAGCAGGTCTGGATTATATGTTCGAAATAAAATATCTCTAGACATTTAATTATGGAGATTTTGCTGAATTAATATGGAACGAATATTGAGTCACCTTAATTTTGTTTTTTTGTATAAAATATCGCGGATTTGATTTGCCTACGGATGCTGTCTATTTTTTTTTCCATTTCTTCAAATTTATCTCATCAAAAAAGCAAGACTAAATTAGATAAACAAATGACTTCTAAATTTGCATTTAACCATCTTACCAAAAAAATGGTGATGATTGAGGACGAAAGAAAATCACACGCTGAAAACGTTGCAAATGACACGGATACATTATTCTATATAGGTATATTTTGCAGTATTTAAACATATATGACATATAAATATATATTTCCGACAATTTTAAATTGTAAATAAATTTGTTTATTTAATTTTCATGATTTTTATTTTTTTCTTCCTCGATCCATAAGTTGTTGTGCCACCTATCCTGTCTAGGGATACGTGCCACCACGACAATAAACAACAGCATACGTTAAGATAAAACTCAAATGCCTTTCTTTCTAGAAACGATTTGATACAGCCAGATGAATATTTCCATATATAAAAAATAAATATCTGCCTGCATATTGATATGAATCTCCTGCCATTTTTAAGTAAACACTTCTCATTTAACTCGTTACTAACGCGTTAAACTTTGAAGACAAATAGTTCTAAAATATACACGAATGAAAAATATTAAAGTTTTAATTGATTTCAATAATAGCGATACCTATAATATCCTTTTTTTTTTAAAACTTAAAAACAAAAACGAACGATTTGCCAACTTATGTTGATCTGATCATTTGTACTAGTTTTGGCAATAACTGAACTCACCATTGAAGTCAGTTAAATCAAAAAGTATTTTAATACACTGTTTTTATATATCTATTATCTATCTATCTATCTATCTATATTATTATATACCTTTACCTATGAACACTAATAGCTATGTCCCAATGGAATAAATACTTTGGACACTATGATAATTGGGTTTATATATGATGTCTAAGTAGTTCAATAATAGCAGTGGTTTACCTATTCACACGCCGCTGGCGAGTATTGTATTTTGTTGATGTTATAAAATGACCATTTCATTTCCAACTTCTGTTTTGGTTTTGTCCATTCAGTAACATTTTTTTTCTAGGTTACAAAAATGAAAGAAAATAGAGAAAGAAAAAGAAAAGAAAGTATTTTTATACCTACATATGAACACTAATGTTTATGTCCCAATCCTCATAAATACGTTGGACACTATTTCTTTTTAATTGGGGTAATATGATGTCTATGTAGTCCACCATTAGCAGTGGTTTACCTACCTTATCTTTGTTGACGAGTATTCTATTTTGTTGATGTTATAAAATTACCATTTCATGAAAAAACCCATTTTTGATTATTAATCATTCAGTAAACCTTTCAGTTACAACATTAAAATCTATCTATCTATCTATCTATATAAATATATATATATATATATATATATATATATATATATATATATATAAATATAGATAACTAGACTCGTTTTGAAAAACCCTCGAATTTTTGATTTGCTAATCAAATCAATCTCGAAAAAAAAGGTTTTAAAAAAGAAAGAGCTACAAACATGAACTTCTGCCGAAAAAAAAATCGCACAGATGCAGGTCTGAAGCCCAAAAAAAAAACCCTGATACGATTAACAACTAACTAACAAAAGAGCTCAATACAACCGTAGACAGACCTAGATACACCTAGTTATAGACAAACCTACCTAGGTTTGTCTAAATATATATATATATATATATATATATATATATATATATATATATATATATATATATATATATATATATTGCTAAATATATATGAGTTATATCATCAGAAAATTTTAACGATTAAAATATATATATATATAACAATATATGTCGAATATATTTTATAGAAGAATCCACCGTTTGATCGAGAGAGCTTTCAATTGCCCCTCCCCCCCTCAGCTAGCACCACAGCCGACCAGGGTTCTATTTCCCCCTTTTTTTAAGAATGTTCATTCTCTTCAGATATTTAGATGAATCAAGCCCATGTTTGTTCGACTTCATAGTCTAAAAGTTAAACAAAGCAATTTCAAATGAACTCATCGATTTGTTTTTCATCCGTTATTTTTTTTTATTAATTCAAATGTTATTTCCTTGTGGATATCCCCGTTTGAAATAGACGACCCGTTTTCATTTTAAACAGCGTGTATTACGTCTACTGGTGTGTGCACTTGAGAATGTTCTCTCCATCACTGTTCATGTTTCATCCTTCTTCCTCCAGAATGTCGAACGGCGTATTTTAGACCGGTCGGCCACAGACACCGTCGCTACCCAGCAATGTTATGCTCTTATGAAAGCCAAGCAGATATTGATCCAATCTAAATCAGTTTGATACACTGTGACGCTAGAACCAATCGAAATGATTACTCTACTAAAAGTTCTGTGATTCTTCTTCTATCTGCTGTGTCCTTCCAGGCATTTGTCGATCAAGGCTCTCCACAATTTGCTTTTCTTTTGTAAAGAAATAGATTTGCATTTTTGTCATCTTTCCCGAACCAGTTCCATCATCCATTCACGGAAGCTCGTTATGTAGTTTTTGCGTTGCTTACCTCTGTTTCTCTTACCGTCAATCTGTCTTTTGAGCATCACAATTACCAAGCCCACTTTCCTCATTATGTTATATTTAGTTGTCGCTTTCTGGTGTTAAGTATAGGTATCATCTGTCTTGCCATTGTCTCCAGAACTTCGTCGTTGCTCACATGTATGGTCCATAGTATTCTCAGTATACTTCTGTAGATTACATTTCTATAAAAAAACCGTTTCATCATTATGTGGAGATTGTGCAGCATTCACTGCCATATAATAGGGTTTATACTACGTAACAGTTCAGTACTCTTTTCTTTGTTTCTAACGATATTTTTTCTTGTTTCGTAATAGTTTGCTCAGCTTCTGAAAGGCATCTTTCGCCATCCCAATGCACTTTCGGATTTCGGTCTAGCAGTTTACGTCCTCTGTTTATATGCTTCCCAGATATCAAAATTATTGCATTTTATTTCGGCATTTCCAATATGTAATTTTTTATTTTGGGTTGCCCCTTTTGCTAACAACCATGGATTTCTTCTCCTTCCATTTGAATTTAATAATTTCTTTTGTCTTTTCTTCTGGCTTTAATGATCTGTAAGAGACACGGAAATGAAATTACAAAATCTACAGAAGGTAGCGACGGAGAGTGAGAAGAAAGGACTAAGGTAAACTACAAGAAGACAGAATTCATAGTCATCAGTAAAGGGATGAGCCCAAAATGCGATTTGAAGGCCGGGAACACTAAAATCAAGCAAACGCGGAAATTTAAATATCTCTACATATTTCTTTCTTTCTTTTCCTTCTCTTTTAGTTTATTTTTTTCTTTTTGTCTCTCTTCCTTTCTTTCATTTACTAATTCGTTATGCTTTCTTCCATTCTTTCTTGCTTTCTTTCTTTTCCTTCTCTTTTAGTTTATTTTTTCTTTTTGTCTCTCTTCCTTTCTTTCATTTACTAATTCGTTATGCTTTCTTCCATTCTTTCTTGCTTTCTTTCTTTTCCTTCTCTTTTAGTTTATTTTTTCTTTTTGTCTCTCTCCCTTTCTTTCATTTACTAATTCGTTATGCTTTCTTCCATTCTTTCTTGCTTTCTTTCTTTTCCTTCTCTTTTAGTTTATTTTTTCTTTTTCTTCCCTTTCTTTTCATTTATAATCATGTTATATTTTTCTTCCATTCTTTCTTTTTTCTTTCCTTATCTTTTAGTTTATTTTTTCTTTTTGTCTCTCTCCCTTTCTTTTTATTTACTAATTCGTTATGCTTTCTTCCATATTTTCTTCTTTTTTTCTTTTTTAGAATTTTTAGTTTATTTTTTCTTTTTGTCTCTCTCTCTTTCTTTCATTTACTAATTCGTTATTCTTTCTTCCATTCTTTTTTTATTTCTGTCTTGCTTACATTTGATCATTCATTTTTTTTTATTCTGCGTTTGTTTCTTGATTGCTTACTTCTAATAATTCTTTCTTTTACTTTCTATGTGTCGTTCATTCATTTTTTCTTCTTTTTTTTCCTGCTTTAGTTCATTCTTTCTTTTTCTTTCCGTGTGTCATTCTTTATTTCTTTGTTCTTCCTTTCTTTCTTTTCCTTTCTTTTGTGCTTACTTCTAATCATTCTTTTTCCTTCCGTGTCTTTCTTTCTTGCTTAATTTTATTTAGTATTTCTTTTTTCTTCCGTGTGTCGTTCTTTCTTTCTTTCTTTCTTTCTTTCTTTCTTTCTTTCTTTCGTCCTTAATTTTATTTAGTATTTCTTTTTTCTTCCGTGTGTCGTTCTTTCTTTCTTTCTTTCTTTCTTTTTTTTTTTTCTTTCTTTTCCTTAATTTTATTTAGTATTTCTTTTTTCTTCCGTGTGTCGTTCTTTCTTTCTTTCTTTCTTTCTTTCTTTCTTTCTTTCGTGCTTACTTTTGTTCAGTTTTTCTTTTCCTTTCGTGTGTCGGTCTTTCTTCCTTTCTTTTTTCTTTCTTTTTTTCTTACTTTCTTGCTACCGTTTGTTCTTTCTTTTTTTTTCCTTCTGTGGGTCGTTCTTTCTTTCTTTTTTGCTTCATTTTCTAGTCAGTTCCTCTTTTTTTCATTATCACTCTTTAATAGGATCTGTGCAAATGACTAAACACCCAATTTTTTGTGTCACCTCTTTTCTTTAAGTTTTCAATTTCTGGTGTTGTATTTGTATTTTGTGTCATTGCTACTCGCTTTCGAATCGCAAAATTCCTTTGTCACATCAGCTGACAGACTATATTATCTCTCTTTCTCCTTATGACGTTCTGTTTAAAAATTTCCCCATCTGGTTTGTATCTGAACTCTACGGGAGTCGAACGGGACCCCTCAATTTCTTGTTGGTAGTTTCGTATTTAGAGAAACCGTAGAGGATTTCATATTTAAAGTGGGGCCCAGAAAATTATATCCTGGGAAAACAAGAAATTCATTGGTTGGTGATATCCTGTCAGTAGAAATAATTTCGGTCATTTGTTTAGTGGCACGTTATATAAAGTATTACAGAAAGAAGGAAAAGAAGGATAGATAAATGAAGAAGGGACGGACGGAAAGAACAATATTAGAAACGATTGAAGAAAGGATAGAAAAAGAAAGAAGGAGCGAAAGAAAGATGGAAAAATGATCAATATAAAGAAGAGAAAGAATGGAGGGTCCGTGAATGAAATTTAGAAGGAAAAGAAAAGAAAAAAAAAGAAAAAAACAAAGAAAGAAAAGATGAATGATGACATGGAGAATAAAATATAAAAGTGAAGAATTCTGAAAGAAAGAATGAAAGAAAGAAAGAAAGAAAGAGGAAAAGGAAAAAAATGAAAAAAGAAAAGAAAAGAAGATCATTAAAGAAAGAAAGGAAGAAGAGATTAATGAAGAAAAGGGTTCTAGAATCATTCGCCGTAAACATTTTTTACCATAGGAAAACTCGCCTCAGGAATTTTCGCCGTAAAAAACTTTACCGTAACACAATTTTGAGCATTTTTTTTTTTTTTTTTTTTTTTTTTTTTTTGATGCCGTAATCTTGAACATCCCTTTCGGAGTAATATTTAGGTATTTATTCTGAATTTAAAACAGTTCATGTTCCCAAATAATTTGTATAAATTCCATGACTTACCGAGAGTCTGAAAGGATTTACGGCGAATTTTCCTGATACGGAAAAAAAGGAAAGACGAAAAAAAAAAAAAGATTGTATTAAGCATTTAATTTTTCATCGCCAGTGAACATTTTTATTTTAAATGGTTCGTTTTTTTCTGTGTTTGGACAGAGAATCACTGATGTAAACGCAGTCAATTATTTTTTCTTTTAAATCCCGGAACACCCAAATATAGCGATTCACGAATCTAAGTGCTTTCAAAGCTCACTTTCAATATGTAGTGTAGCTGTGCGATGACCCGTGTCGCGTAACTTAGAAAATTGTTAATCGTTGTTCATCGCCAACGGCTGCATACCTGCTGGAAACTTTCTCGGCCTTCCAGGTTAAAATTCCAACTCCTAAAAAAACACTTATGATCAATACACACAGATACGGCACGAATATATAATATATAAACGGCACATACATTTTTGCTGTTTGTACAGATCTTTTTATTTCTCTGAATATAAAACAGTGTCAGTTGTCGAAAACACATCACTATTTCCCTGCATTGTGATTTTCAATGTAAAACCTTCAAAATTCACAATCTGTAAACGAATCTTACAGAAAGATACATTAAAATGAGAACTTCCAGAAATATATATATATATATATATATATATATATATATATATTACATGGATCATTCATACAAAAAGTAGATTACTGAAGTTAATGATATGAATGGCGAAAATATCATAGCAAACAAATTTATTAAAGTTACATTAACCCACAAACCTCTCGAAGAATGTTATGATTCTTGTTTTTAATAATTTTTAAGTTGTATAAGGCCTTTTTTTTATTCTGCTAGTACTCATATTCAGGTAATATCAATTGAACTGCACCACATATTTGATATATATATATATATATATATATATATATATATATATATATATATATATATATATATATATATCCTTACTCTGTCCTGGACATTGAGTTCTACCTGGATTCTTCCTCTTGGAATTTTTATTCTAAAAAATATATATATGTGGTATTTATATACTTCGCATACGTATGTATATTTAACACTAATATTTTTTTATATATATATATATATATATATATATATATATATATGTATATATATATATATATATATATATATATATATATATATATATATATGTATATATATATATGACAAATTGAAAACCGTTTCATCGAATACTTATATTATTTACATTATTCGAACTGTTATCCTCATCTTCATTGCCATATTCAAAAAGTTTCGGCCGTTGTACTTTCCTGTCTTCTTCAGGTGATTGGAATTTTGAAGCAAACCCTTTATTTTGCCCATTGGCGTAGATTTGTAAGAAATATAAAGGAGAAAGATGCCACCCGCTTAAGGTTAGACTGCAAAAACATCGTAAAGCGTTAACACGTGTGGAAATAGAACAAATCAGGTGTAGCTGACCACATAAGGAGGGAAAATGGAGATCCCCTCCCCCTTTGGTATAATTTTGAAGTCACAGGAAAATACGAAAATTTAATGAATCTGAACATAGACTAGACCATGAAAATCTCCTGATTCGACAAAGCATAGAAATGTATAAAATATGGGAACAACTAATAAGGAGCACTAAAGAAAAGCAATGAATAACAACAAAAATTGCAATATAAGCTCCGGTAAAAAATATGCAATAATAATAACAGAAAAATTGAAATATGAGCACTGGTAAAAAATGTGTGCTCAGTCATTAGGTTTATACGTCTCTGAAATTCACGATCAGCTGCCCGCAAGGGCTCATGGCCCATTGGATAAAGTCGTTGATTAGATTCAGTGACTAGACCTAAATACTTGTTAGTTCAATACCAGGCGACAGCAGTGGTAAAAAAAAAACTAGATTTTCGGGATGAAAAGACGAAACGACCTCTTTCATCGTCTACCGAAATAGTGTATTCCTCACATAAAGTATTTTTTATTATTCACCCCAACACACACACACACACACACACACACACACACACACACACACACACACACACACACACACACACTGTGTGTAATTTGGCATCATGCTTTCATTGTGGTCAGTTCGTTAAATAATTTCGACAAGTTTTGTCTTCTTATTTTCAACAGGATCCGTTCATTTTCTCGGATGAGCCTTCTGTTGGCGGTATTAAAAAAAGAGAGAAAATTACGATGTTGATACATATTGTTTTATTCCGAGTACTTTCGGCATTAACATAATATCAGGATGTGGACTTAGGACAAAAATATAGGGTTCATTATTTCCAAAGGCAAAATCTGAAAATTATAATTTTACGGGTTCAGTGAGGACAGCTAATTTTTGTGCCATGCGACGTATGGTTTATGCTCTAAGGAAGGTAACTCATTATCATGTGTGAAGAATTCGTTTTAAAAAAAATAAGAAAATAGTATGAGAAGCTATTAATATAGAATATGATATTTTATTCGATCTATTGTAAACATTTTAGAACTTTTTGCCGTATTCCTAATTAATTTTGTCATGGTTTTGTTTCAATATTTTAATATAGATGGCTTCAGGGATTTTTTGTTTATATTTATTATTTTCATGAAAAAGTGTGGATGGAATAATTTTTCTAAATTGCGAATGTAGACAAGCATGCTGTTGTAAATTTTTAGAGATATTAGACATGTCATTCAAATAAAAACTCAACCACCGAGACACCGTGGTCGTAGTACGTCAGACATAAATATATTTTTTCTGTTGGAGATGCAATCTCCCTGAGGACATTTAAATTTATATACACTGTTGGTTTTCTGCATCAGATTAGTTGGTAGTAGGAGTCGTTACAAATGATTAAATTGGATCTACCAGATTTAGTGTAGTATAAAATTAATGACATTTTTTTATCGGATTCTCTGGTGGATAAGTTGGTATTTATTTGTTTTAGGATATTTTCGTCTAGTTTATGAATAGTATATATTTGTGCACTATTTACATTATTCGGACTATTGTCCTCATCTTTGTCGCCATATTTATTGCCAACGTTTCGGCCGTTGTACGCTCCGGCCTTTTTCAGGTGGTTGGAATGTCGAACTGAAACCTTTATTTCGCTCACTGGGATAGACTGTTCTAGCTCCACGTGCCATGTCTAAAAGATGTCAGTGATCAGTTATCTTCTGTTAATTCTCCTCTCCAAGTTCTCCACTGCCTTAACCGGGTATTGAACTCACACTTTGGGTTCCTGTCACTGGATCTAACCAAAGCCTTTATCCACTGCGCCATTTGTCCTTGAAAGATGGCGACAAAGATGAGGACAATAGTCAATGTAATTAGTGTACATAATACCTCATCTCAGAAATATAGACAGATACTGAAAGGCCGAAACATTGTAATAAATATGGCGACAAAGATGAGGACAATAGTCCGAATAATGTAAATAGTGTACATAATTCCTCATCTCAGAAATATAGACAGATACTGAAAGGCCGAAACGTTGTGATAAACATGACGGCAAAGATGAGGACAATACTCCGAATAATCTAAATAGTGTACATAATTCCTCATCTCAGAAATATAGACAGATACTGAAAGGCCGAAACGTTGATAATAAATATGGCGACAAAGATGAAATCGAAATTATAATGTAAATAGTGTTATAATAATTCATCTCAGAAATATAGACAGATACTGAAAGGCCGAAACATTCTGATAAATAATGGCGACAAAAATGAGGACAATAGTCCGAATAATGTAAATAGTGTTTTTAATAACTCATCTCAAAATCTACCAGATTTTGAAGTCCTGAAAAGTTGTAATAAATATGGCGACAAAAGATGAGGGGACAATATTCCGAATAATGTAAATAAAACCAATAATTCCTCATCTCAAAATATAGACAGATACTGAAAGGCCGAAACAGAAAATAAATAAAAAAACAAAGATGAATTAATGTATTATAATGTAAATAGTGTACATAATACCTCATATCAGAAATATAG